ACGGCCGCCATCGTCAGGACCCGAACACATGTCGTCCAAATGCCCGACGAGCCCGCAATAATTGCAGTAATTGGGCAGCCTTTCGTACATGATCCTCGCGGTGATCTCCTCGCCGTTCGGGAGACGTAACCTTAAGCTTTCCTCCAACGGGTTAGAGACGTCGATGTCGACCCTCACGCGAGCGAACATACTGACAGCTTCCTCGTCAGAAGCGCCCCTTGCGTTGGTCCCCAGCGCGCCCCTCACGCGAGCGAACATACTGACAGCTTCCTCGTCAGAAGCGCCCCTTGCGTTGGTCCCCAGCGCGCCTGCGATGATCCCTGCTACCTGCGCGGTGAGGCAGTCTAAGGGCAGGTCGTAGATTCGGATCCAGAAAGGGGAGACGTGGAAGTCGTAGTCCGAAGGTGAATTGTCCTGCACGTATCTCTTGACGGGGACTAAACCTCCCCGGAAAATGTGGGGGGCTGCGTCGAAAACGCGGCCTTCGTCGGAGCTGTCGAACTTCGCCACGAAAACGTTGTCGCTGCGGTAGTCAGGCCGGAGGTTTATGGGAGTGTACGAAGAAGGGTAGGAAGATCTCAGCATTTCTTCGATGAGCGGGAGGGAGCCGGGTCTTGGGGGGTAGATTTTGAAGCAGGCGAGCCAGGAACTGTTGAGGGCTGAGTCTGGGATGTGGGTGACGGTGCTGGCCATATTGATATTGATATGATGATGCTAAGAGATCGAAGGAAATTAACTCAACAATTGATGATCGCTTTTGAGCTTTAAACGAACGCATCAGATGCCGATCGATGAGTTCTTCCACTGGCATTTAACTTTGCGAAGTTGATAATTTATTTAGTTTATTTTTGGTGATAGTAGCTTTCTTAACCCTTAAACAACAATTTACTAGTGAACTGGGTTCACAACATATTACCCAGATTCACTTAATATCAACTTACGAAACTTATTTCAGCTTGTTCAAAAAGTCTGAGAGGACCCGGTTATAACCAAGAATACTTCTTTTTCAACCCAACATTTACGGGACTAAGTAGGAGACTATAAGGTATCATAATGTCATTTTTCTTGGGTCCCATTCGACATCAAGAGAGAAGTTGAATGAAGAGATATAATGTGAAATTTCAAATTTGACCATAACGTAAAATGTTACTGTTATGGTGTTTTAAGTCGTCAAAGTACGGCCATTTGCTAGCAACGGACATGCACCGCTCAAGTCAAATTGACGATCAGGATCACCAAGAATCCCGACTTAGCCGACTCGACGAGTCGACATCTCCTTAGGACGACTCGAAGGGCGGTAATTATCGGTCCTCTTGTCGAATACGACTCGCTACGAGCCTACTCGACCAGTTATTTAACGCCACGCGGGGTCGACTCAAAAGGCGTTACTTTTCGGCCAAGCCAAAGGGCGACATCAGCCTCCCCTGCTGACAACGCGTCGACGTCACATTTAATGCTTGGCAGGCGCCATCATGCCTCTAGCCTCGATAGTCTTCATCAAACCACGCCGGCACCGCCATGCCCCCGATCACTTCACATCAAATGCTGAGGTGATCTCTCCTCCACTCGTCAGCCGACACCTGTAAAGTAGGTGCTGACGCAGCTGCTAGGCCATACTCGTTTGCCGTCATCCTGTGCTCGGCCGAGATTACAATATTTTCAACCACTATAAATAGATGTACTATTCTCAACATTAGAAGGGGATTTTTCCAAGCAATATCGGCAAATTATACTACAGAACTCACGCAGTTCTTCATTTTCCCACTCAAGTCCATCAACTGACTTGATCGTCGGAGGAATCTCAGGGGAACTAGTCTCCGTCCTCTCACGAGTTACTATTTGTGCAGACTGAAACTACTCAACTCAAAACTAGATATTCGAAGAAGTGAGCGACCCCTAATCAACCTCCCCCCCCACCCCCATATTACCTGCTTGATTATTAACATCAACAGTTACGCATTGGATAGAAAATTTCCATAGTCACACGGGCACTAATATCTTGCAGCAAGGAGGCGAATCTTTATATTTAAGTCCATTAATAGGCTCTTCAAATCCCCGAACAAATATAAGCTAGAAGCAAGTTTTATTAATGAAAAGCAATATCGCTGTGAGTTACACTGTCATTCTTCAGCAAAAAAATGTAATCGACTCTTATACGATTACAATATTAGATGGAATTTGAATTTTCAAAAAAAAAAAAGCGGGGAAAGACCTGCCAAGATTCCCCGTGATTGAGGAAACAAATTGGCCAAAATTTGGAACTAAATTTGAATTGAATTTATTCCCAATCCAAAAGACTCCAATTTCATTATTAAAAATAATAAAATACCATAAAATAATATCATTTATGGATGAAATTTTGCGATTCTTTTTTTTTTTGAAAAGAAATTTTGCGATTCTGAGCATCATAGCTCGAACATACATTAGACATCCCAAAACTCTTTCCAGATTTAAGGGATACACAGCTGTGTTGCTACAGGGACCCAAATAGGGGACCCAAAGGCATGAAACAGGTGAGGTGTCATCATCCGGTTGCATGATGCACTATTCATAAACAGTGCATCATGCAACCGGATGGTGACATCTCACCTCTCCCATGCGTTGGGTCCCCTATTTGGGTCCTTGAGGCATTAATGTTTCCTTATGACTAAGTCAATAATGACTATGACTAACCCTACCTATGGGTGCACGCGGTTGCTGTTGACCCACATTAGATCGTAGACTGTTGATTTTTGTTTCCACTTGTGTTTGGATTTGCTTTAATTTTCGGGTTTTCTTTTGTGATTTACATTGATTGATTAATGCCACTTATCGATGGAGAAAAATCTAATTGGTTGACCCGCACACTTCCACATTCCCGATTTTTACTTAGGTACCGTATTCATTCTCAGACCCATCGGTTTTCTCTCCATGGCAAGTTCATCATTTTAGGGGGTGTTTGGTTCAATTTCTAGAAATTATAGGAAATGTTTTCCACCTAAAATATGATTTCCTTGTATTTCTTAAAAAAATTATAGGAAAAGTTTTGAGAAATCAAAAAGTACCAATTTTTTTGTTTTTTGTACTTTGCTTGTTTGGTTCAAAACAAGAAAATGGCTCATAACTTTATAGAAAATAACAAGATTTGGTAGATTTTTAATTAAATATAGTATGTGTCAGATTTCTGGAGATTTCCTCTCATTTTGAGAGGAAATTGCTTTTTGTAAAATTTGGTAGGTTTTGATATTTTATAGAAAATATTTCTGTAAATTTTTTGTTGAACCAAACACAATTTACAAAAATCTCTGGAAAACTTTTAATTATAAATTTGCCATTGTCAGATGTTTTGAGAAAAGTTTTCTCAAAAAATGTGCAACCAAACAGCCCCTTATTGTACACTAGTATGCAATACGTGCGTTGCACGTGATGCATATTAAGAAACTACAAGAGTTAAAATATTTGAAGGCCAAGTAATTTTTTACTCACCAATTTTACCATCATTTATTAAATACATTCTTTACATAGAACATATGCTAACTGCACATTACATGTAGTTTTAAACAATCATCCACTAAATATGTTTTCATGTGCATAAATTTTTAATATGCAACTAATTTCACATTTATTTTTTAATACTAAGATCACCATCCTATTACTATTTATGAAACGGAGGCCCAAAAAAATAAAAGAAAAACATAACCATTATTTCTAAAAATTATTCAAACTTCATGAAACTTTAATAGTAACATTGTTACTATGGTTGGAACTTGATTAATGTAGAAGTTGATATGAAAAATGAATGGCATGAGATCATTGATACATTTGGGTTACATCACAAACTCAGCACAAAAACTTGAGTTACAAAAAGCATCATCAGAGAAGATTACAACCCTCAATCCATCTCTTAATCTCTTACATTTTTCTTCTAATTTAAAATATAATGAATTGCTATTGGAGGAAAACATCAACCTGTAAGAACCACTTGGGAATAAACATTTAACAGTAGCTTCATTTGCCATCAACAAAACCTTCGAACTAAGCCATAATTCACTGCAATAAAATTGAGTAAAAGTGAAAGTTCACAATGAACTGTAAAAATCCACGAAGCTAAAAAGGACCTAAACTTGAAAAGGAAGGAGAAATGCAAGTTTGAAAGATTAATTTGTAAATGAAAGTAGCATTTTCATAGTGTTCATTAAAGCAATAAGACCATATCCTTACTTGCAAATAGATATCTTGAACAATGCCACAATGAAATAAAGAAGGGAAAAAAAATTCATAAACAGACACCAATTTTACTTCAGGTAGCCTATGACCAAACTGCTAGCAAGACTAAGACTTGAAGCCTCATAAGTCATACCACATCTTTCAAATAATTTTAACAACTAAAGCATGTCTTCTTCAAGCAAAGTATCCAACAGTTTCAAATAATTGCATTAATGGTGTGAAAATGGGGTTACAAACTGCATTGTACCCAGACATATGGATTTACACATTAACCTGAAGAATCATTGTATGAATGTGCATATTCCTACAGAAATATATCTAAATGTTCCAGCTTAATAACTTGCTAAGAAGACCCTTGCATTCTTCTGGTTAGATTCATGTGATAACAAATTACAACTTTTATTGATTTAAAAAAATTGAACAGAAGACATATATAAGAAAATAGCAGAACAACAAAAAATTGATAGGTTATGATATATTTTACTCACGAGACTAAAATTTAGCGTTGATTTTACCTTGTGATTCCTCCTCATAAAGCTGTATAGCTAAATTCAATGTTTGACTTTCTTCGACCATATTTAATTGTAAATCCAATTAAAGCTTCAAAAAATTTCATTAGCAACGTCTTTCATAGTTTGTCCACTACGGTTTCTTTCTTATATGTAACAATTATCCCACAAATTATTATACCGATAAAACTGATGAGTGTCGGATATGCATTTACATAATTCGGTGGAAATGATCTTAGTTTCTGCAACATGAAATGTGTCTTAGCCAAATTGTAAGATAGACGCTCAAAATGTATATCTAGTCATGAAGAAAAAAGTTAATCTAAGTAAGGATTCTTCTTTTCAAGTTTAATAAACAAACGCACAACAAATTAGAGTATATGTTTTTTTATACATACAAAATCAAATGATACAGTAGCAAGAAGGAATATACTGCATATTGTCTCACCATGTTCTTACCTTTGGTGTTGTCATCGATGTTGTTCAGTTTTGGCTGCATACATAGAGAAAGAAGTTGCAATAAATCCTTCTATTCAATGTAATATAAAACCTATTTGTGTATCTAGTAAGAATAATATTTTAAAAAAATTAATCCTTTTCCGAGATGAATCAAATCTTCAATTATGATGTATCTAGTAAGAATAATATTTTAAAAAAATTAATCCTTTTCCGAGATGAATCAAATCTTCAATTATGATAATGTAACAAAAGCATATACTATACATGACTTTTCCGAGATGAATCAAATCTTCAATTATGATAATGTAACAAAAGCATATACTATACATGAAAGTAAAGGATAGTTCATTACTTCAACTCTTGTTTATCTCTTAGCTAGATGAGTAAAACTTTTAGTAAGTCTGATTACCATAAAAAAATGGTAATGATTGATCTATTGTGCAATGCATATGTGCAGCGTATAGATGGTATTACTGCAAAAAATTGAGGCACAAAGAAATGTAGTTCATAGTAGCATAACATAGATGATCGAACTGACAATTCATAAGTAAATATACAGAAAATGCAATGCTAACAAAACGATTCAATTTATTAGATTATACAATTAGAAAGGTTGTCATGCAACAAAAATGTATATTTATGTCTAATTTTGGTTACATATTCCCTCTTCAGGTCTAGAGAAACATTATAGAAAGCTAATACTTTAGGTTACTTAAATTTTTTCAGTGGTGTCCTTGCAACCTCTAATAAAGTAAAAAAGGATAAAATTTTCTTATCTTTGTTTGCATTTGTTTGTGTGTGTGTGCACGTGTGCTAATAATGACATGTATAACTACAACGCATTAGGAATGTGGGACTTTAAACTATGTGAATGTTTCAAGTGATGTGTAGTAGAGTACAACTCTAGGCTTTCTATATATGAGAAAATGCGAAAAGTTACTTCTACTGTTATTTATTGATGGCTGATAGTATTTGACATCGTCATATGGTAGCTATTTCGATGAGAATGGATGGCCTCCTTCTTCTGTCTTTGAGACACTTTAACATTGGACGTTTCACTTCCAATGTATAATTATATCATTAGACTTTAAACTATGTGAGTGTTCAAGTGACGTGTAGCAAAGTACAACTCTAGGCTTAATGTATATGAGAAAATGTGAAGAGTTACTTCTCCTACTAATGTTTATATCTTGTTGCTCTTGATCGGAGGGATTAACTTGTGACAACTTTAGTGATTGGGGGACGTAATATCAATTTCAATGAGTTGATGGCGTAATTTTGAGATAACTTATGAGAATTGAGTGGCCAAATAGAATGTTAAATGATTTGAAAGGCTAACTTCAAATTGTTAAAGATTTAAGAGACCAATATAAAAAAAACTAAGAATAACTGCAAGAACATAAAGTCAATACAATTTAGCATGTATAATGCTATTTTTTACACCTGATGCAGCTCCAAAACACAAAGAACTTGTCTGCTCAAGGAAACAGAAATCTCACAAATAGACAGAGTTTTGTCCATCATCAAGGCACTGCCACGAATCTGCCCCTGTGGTCCAACCTGCTGAAACTCATACAAGTAATGTAACTCCTCTTCCCCTCTCTCTCTCTCTCTCTCTCTCTCTCTCTCTCTCTCTCTCTCTCTCTCTCTCAAGAAATTGAAGTATCTGATTATTCTAATGATCTAGATATGCCTATTGCCTTGCGTAAAGGGAAAAGAACTTGCACTCATCATCCAATTGGCAATTTCGTCTCATAGAATCCGTATCCCAAATGATCAGATTCCCAATGTATTTCCAGTAATCCTCTGTTCTTCCAAATACAAATTCATGTAAAACAAAGAAAGATTAGATTTTTTTTCGATTTGTTCATCACCTATTAATCTAAATCCCTGCAACAGAACAACTAAAGCCTGAAACTTTGTAATCCTAACCTCATCAACATGCTAAAATAACAGCAAGCAGTCATTTTAGACCAAAAACCCACATCAAAATTCGATTAATTTTCATCCAAAAAGAAAGAATCGTGAACCTGAGCATCTTCTTTGGGTTCAGAGTAGATGAAGAAGAAATATCCGATCAAGAGTCCGAAAGGAAGACCGAACACGAATCCAATGAGACAACATTGATATAGTTTAAATGGCATTATAGAATAGATAGAACATCTCTAAAGATAATTAAATAGAAACAAAGATAACAACTTCTCATTACTTCAACACAAAAGATGAGGTATGGCATCAAAAGAACCAGTAACGGCTAAAAATAATCATAATTAAATAATATGTGTAATGTGTGTCAGAGGAAAGCAGTGCATATTTGCTGCAGTAGAACAACTTTTGTAATCAGCCTAAGGGTTGCTATGTTTCGTGGATTTAGGCTTTAAAACCTTTCATAGATTTGTCTCTTTTTTAGAAACTTTTTGGCTCTCGTCAAAAGCAGGAGCTTCACCATCTGCATTAGGTAAGAACCACAACAATTGATCATTAAAAATATGGAGGGAACGCATCAAGCAAGTATTATAAAAAATAGCATGGGTAAAGTTTACATAAAACTCATAAACAAGGCCAGGATGCACTAAGAATAACCAAGATGTCAAAATTCCATGGATTTCCCTAAAGCAAGAAGCAACATGAAATGCCTATGAATATATAGCTAAAAAACCACAGTAAAGTACCATAAAAAACCAACAAAGCCTGCACCTCATCAGGTGGTACTGTAGTAAAACAAACATGAAATGTTAAGGAAAATCTTTCAAGAACAAGGGGAAATATAGACTATAGGGAGAGCCAATAAGAAGCTAAGCTTAAAATGCATACATGCTTCGATAAATAATACATGTCCAGACTGTTCCTCCACCAACTAACTCATTAAAAACAGTAAACTTGTACCTGAAATCATTAAAAGAAATTTGCATCAGTATCAAAGTCTAACACTAAAAGAACAGTGTTATTCAGAACTCTACCATGGCCACTAACTATGTGTCAATCATGTAGGTATTAGTTAGAGTTATATATGAGTTGACACAAAAATATTGTCATTAGTCAATGCTAGCATAACTTCTGCACTACCTCTTACAGTTCAATAGGTAAACTAAAATACTATGATGATGATGCAAACACGTGAATAATGGTGGGACAATAGCCATAAAAGAACAATACACTGTACAGAACAGAATTTTACATGATTTCTGAAAAAATCAAAAACATAAAAACAAAACAAATTAATAAACAACTTACCATTCTGGAAGCTTTTCATCCATGAGAATAGGATTTTGCCATTTCTCAATCTCTTCTTCCCAGCACTTATACTCTGAGAGATCATTCAGAATAGTATCAGACCGTGAGGTTGCAAGTGTAACTCTATAAAGATACATTATTTCCGTAAGAACTTAAAGAAAATTTACAGCAGCAAGTATTGCTCATACTTGTCAATGTATCATGCACCAATTCAACAGGTGATCTCTCAGAACTTCCAAAGATCAGAAGTTCCAAAGAATCTCGTATATCTCCTGATAGGGATAAAAGAGAAATTTTAGAAATTTTTTCCTAGAAAGTAAAGAATGTTGACTTCTAACAATTTACTAACTTGATAGACATTACCAAGACCCTTGAATCACAACAAACATTTTAACCATTATAACCAAAAACCCTGTACAGGTGTTTGCAATTATAAGCCTGAAATTTGTTTAATTAGGGAAGGACCGCAATCTTCAAAAATAAAACATTAGGTGCAAAAGATCAGAGACCACATCTCCAAGAGACTCACAGACAATCCAAGCAGAATCAACATACTGACTGATCACATCAAGTTAAATTTCCCCTTCAGTAAGATAATTCTTGAATCAAAGCAAGACCTGGAGGCATCATGCATACTCCCTAATAGACATGCTAAGAGAGAAGGAACATGTAGAAGTGGGAAACCAGAGGTCTCTTATACTGTCTGCAATATTACCTGTGATAAATGCATCCCTTCTAAAATTTAACTTTAGGGGATGACCAGGCTAAAGCAAATGCAATAGTACACCTTCCAAGAGGCTCCACCCAAGTAGAGGCTGAGACTGCTACACAAAGAGTATCTCCTGGCAAGGATGGTCTATTGGAGCCAGAATTGAAACTTTCTCACCCAAAATGTCCATCCTTGAACCATTAGCAATCAGTTATAAGCTCATAATCACAGCATAGAGATGACATTTATTTAGAAATAATAGACATGAATAGAAAAAAAAATATTGTAATGAAACAAAGACCACATATCCTTCAGCTAAACCAGAATGAAAGTCTGAATTTTACAAGAAAAAAGGTACCTGCACCATAGCAGCCCACATGTCGCTACACGATCATCCCCTGAAAGCCAAAAACTCGGTAACCTGTTATGTTCACATTTTGAGTTCATAATGCTTCATGTATTCCTAAAATTTTCAAAATACTTCTAAATCTAAATCAGGAAAGAATGAAAATACACGAAAATAACTTTCAGAAGGCAGACACAAAAAATACTTCTAAATCTAAATCAGGAAAGAATGAAAATACACGAAAATAACTTTCAGAAGGCAGACACAAATCTAAAACTCCCCATACTATCTTAAAAAAATGAAAATACACGAAAATAACTTTCAGAAGGCAGACACAAATCTAAAACTCCCCATACTATCTTAAAAAAATCACACAAGAAACGGGGAAAAACATTTTTTTTCCTTTTTGGTTAATCAAATGAGGGGTAGGATTCCAAATATCCAGAATTCATACTTTCACAGGGGAAATATCAAAAAGTTCCAACAATACAAGGATCATATATATCAGCATCATTCTCACATCATTCTCATTATCAGCATCATTCTCACATCATTCTCATTAACAACACCAAAAAAATCACACTTTTCCAGTTAATAATTGGGGAAGACTAATCTAAAATGTATCGAATACCAAAAAGGGTAAACAAAATAAGTAAAACTGAATCTAGCAAAAAAAGAAACGCTAGAAAACATCAAATCGAGCAACCTGCTTTAGCGACGAAGGGAAAGTGATCTTTCCAGTATCCCTCAGTGATCCAACCATGGCCGTCGTGATTTCCCGCCAACGGCGGCAAAAGCAAGCGCAAGAAACCTCGTTCTTTCAGAACAGCCATCGATCCTCGCTTGACTCAACCCTGAGGGGTTGCGAAACGGAAGAAGCGGAAGAGGCAGAGGGGGCAGATGGGTGGAGCGGCAGAGGAGAGAACGGTTAAATAGGATAAAATTAGATTGAAACAGAAGAATAGGAGATGAAGAGGAAGGGGGTGGGGCGCTTGGGTTAGTGCGGTAGGGGAAAGGGCAAAGTAAGAATAATTAGATTGAAAAGGAGGATAAAATTATAATTAAGCAAGATTAAAGGGATAAAATAGGCATGCAAAAGTTTTGACACATGTTTTCTCTTTTAGAAGTAGTATAGATATAGATTATATATGAAATATTTGGGCTGTTCGTCAAAATTTAATGGTGACGATTTTCCTATATTCGTAGATCCATGAATGCGTGGTTGTTGATGACAGCGTTCAAACATGGGGTTTATGTGGAGGCTAATGAGTGATTAGGGTCCTCAAACTTCTTCAGATGGCTGGTTTTGGGGCCCACCGTGCTGCCATGCACATAAGAAGACACGTAAGGGGGCAGAGTTGGGTTTTCCGATTGATCCGTCGACGCTCAACTCAGTAAATGATCTTGCGTGGGGGTAATACGTAGGTTAAGTAGTTTAAAAGTTGCGTAAAAAAGCCAGAGCTTACCCCCATGCGGTACTGGATCCTTTTATAGTGGATTGGAAAGGAAAAATAGTAATTTAATTGGGCCCTTACCCCCATGCGGTACTGGATCCTTTTATAGTGGATTGGAAAGGAAAAATAGTAATTTAATTGGGCCAAGTCCGGCTAGGCTGCTGAGTCGGCAGACATTCTATAGGTGTCGGTCGCTAAGGGGAATGAGTCACCTAGCTATTTAATGCGGGAATGACAGCAGATGCTTGATACTGACTAGGTCCGATGAGTCATAAAGACTATGGAGGCTGGAGCAATTATGATTTTGTCAGGGTAGTTAATGCAGGGGCAGTCGGGTGGCGAGGGATTCGAGGTGATATTTACCTCTCTATTTGTCGAGTTGAAGGCCGACTACCACCGCCTTCTCACTCGGCCTCGTAAGGTGTCGTCGGCCTATCGAGTCAGCCGAGAATAGACGACAGAGTGTTGGTCGAGTGGATTGCACAATGCAGAGCTAATAAGTTGGTCGACGGGTACCGCCTTCTCACTCGGTCTAGTAAGGTGCCGGCCTATCAAGTCGGCCTATGATGATGTGGATTATGTCGGCTTGGTGATTTGATTTGGTGTGGAGTGGGACACGTGTCAGTTTCCTTATGAGGATTAGTATTTAGTAATTTTGGGGTTGTAACAGTGGTTGTACATTCCATAGATAGCCTAGATTTACAATGTTGAATCTTTCATGGGGTGCTTAAAGAAGTAAATCAGCTATTTAGCTAGTAAACAAAATCCACTAGATAGTTTTACGGAATAGAAGTCAAAGTCTCGTGTTCCAATTGGGCGAGTATCATCTACCCTTTAAAAGAGGGAGTTCTAGAAAAACTTTCTCTAACCCAAAATACCCTTCACCTTTCATTAATTTAACAAAGTTACCCTTTCTTTTTCCGTTACTCAGAATCAGAAAACTCTAAAGCCCTAAACCTTCGTTCCTTCCCATCTTCGTTCCATCGGTTACGATTTTCCTCCGGCAACTCAGTCCCACTCTCTCTACCTCATCAATTGGCGGTTACGAAATTACAAAGATAATTACTATTATTCTCGTCACCTCCCTCAATACCCACCCCCACCATCTCCCTTGGTCTTGCTCACCTCCCTTCCTCTTTATGATCCCGTCACTCTTCCCCGACAAATTCTGGGAGCTCATATTCTCCCTCCTCCTCTCCACCGGCGGCGACCGCAACGCCGCCTCCCTTGCCTGTAATTTTCTCTACCGCATCGACCATCGCTCCCGCCACCACCTCTTCATCAGCAACTGCTATGCTGTCTCCCCCATAGTCGTCGTTGAAAGGTTTCTTGCCATTAGGATTGGTGACTGTCTCTGCTAATTGCAGATAATTTGCACTGGTTTTGACGCTGTTATTTGGTTTTGATGGGGATTTTGTGTGTAGATTAGGTTTTTTTGGTTAAAAGATTGGATTTTTCAGCAGAAATTTGGATATTTGGTTGTTTGAGGGTGTGGATTTTGGATTTTTTTGGGTTCAAGGTTGGATTTTTCTGCAGAAACTATTTGTGGCTAATCACAGATTTTTTACACCACTAATTATTATCCTAATCATCCTGAAACCTTCTCTTCCATCTTCTCCTCAAATATCAGATTTTAGGCATCAGCAAGGATCAGAAAGTGAACAAATTGAGCAAGGTTTTATTTGCAGTTGCATATTTATTTATATCTTCTGATTTGTATGGCATGTCAAAGTTCTGATAATCCAATGGGATAAAAAATACAACATTTACATCTACAGGATTTTGTTTCGTAAAATATGCAACTTCTGAAGAAGCTGATAGAGCTATTGCAGCGTTGCATAATCAACACACCTTGCCTGGGGTGAGCAAGTGTCTCATTTATGTCACATGCACTATATGTAACTACATTTATTTATTTACTAATAATTTGAACTTGTGATCATTCTCAAGCATTAGTACCTTTACAAGTAAGATACGCTGATGGTGATCGGGAGCGCCATGGTACTTTTTCAAGCCCATTATCTGTTCTATGCTCAATGTCTGACAATTGTACGACTGTGATATGCTGTATGAATTTTTAGTTAAATATCATACTCCAAAACCCGTCTTCAGTAATATTACTGGTATATTAAAGATAGGAAAAAGACAAAATATGGTTTAATGTTTGATATTTTGATGGAAAGATTGATCCATGTTAGATTGCTTATGCACAACGAGATATATACTATGTAGCACAATTAATAAATATAGTGGCAAGAGGTCATCTAAAATACATAAATTGATTCTCAATTCAGCATTGTTTTTTCTTCTACATTATTGAATTTCAATGGTGTATAGATATTTATAAGGAACTACTTTTGTAGGGTGTTCATGTATGATCTAGCAGGGTTTTAACTTTGGAAAGGAGTGTACACAAGTGTAATGAGTAATTTTTGTCATATGATCTTTGTGAAAACAAATCGTATAAAGGTATTGTCTGGGGGGGGGGGGGGGTGCATGTGGTTAGTCCACTCAGTCTTGTATGCAAAATAAGTTACTTCTTGGTGGTCAAATTGGTATTAATAAGACACTAGAATTTTGGGGAACAAAATATGAGACCAGACAAATGCAATCCTCTTCTGAAGGAATTTGCATTTTACCAATAGAGATTTGCATTTTGTATTAAAGTGTATAAGGCCAGAGATGGTTGCCACTAGCCACAGACAATAGCTATGTGTTAACTGGAAATTATACAACATCTGTATTCATGGAATCAGTTATATGTGTTCATTTGAATGTGCTGTTTTAGGTGTTTCATCTAATTCAATTCCAAGGTTTACTATTTTTTTATGCCTGCTTAATATTTCTATGTAGAGGACAAACTGTTTGTTACATCACTCAATAAGCGTGCCATAGAACAGGAAATTGTAGAGGTAAGCATTATTAGCATGGAATTAATTCAAAGTAAAGTTGTTCTGTCCTGGCATCAGTTGCATGTTCATGGAATTAATTCAAAGTAAAAGTTTATATTCTTGCACTGCAATTACTTTTTATGGCAGTTGATATTTTTCTAATTTTTTTAGTTTTCATGCATTATTTACAAGATTAAGTATTTAGAGGTTGTTGATTCTCCCATCTATCAAGGTAAATATTAATATTTTTTCTAAAATTAATTTGGTTTATTGGATTATGTATATTTTTAATTGAATTGAAATAGAAAACAAAAACTTTTTTTGTTGCTATGCATGCTTTTATTTAGTTTAACTAAATGTTAAATGCTTAACTTTCAATTCAAAATAGATCTAATTAGCATCCTCAAGGCATCATCATTTACTACTTGGGTGTTGGATGACTTTCAATTCAAAATAGATCTAATTAGCATCCTCAAGGCATCATCATTTACTACTTGGGTGTTGGATGATTTATTCTTAGGCTTGAATTAAAAATCAATAATAGTTTAATTGTCAATATAGTTTACAGTGCTTATTGGAGAATTATATTGTATTGCTTTTCTTTAAGAACTTATGTTGTAGTGATTAAATTTAGTTTATAGTACTTATTGGAGAATTAATGAATCATGTTGTTTATTCTTAGGCTTGAAAGATATTTTAGACAGTAGATGAGTATCAATGAATCATGTACAAAACGATAGAAAAGTGGATGTTCATTTAACCTCCAATCATGTCGAACAACATTCGATAGGTCATGCTCTTATGTTTAAGAAAAGTGGATGTTCATTTAACCTCCAATCATGTCGAACAACATTCGATAGGTCATGCTCTTATGTTTAAGCTCACTGTGTTTTATGCTTGCTGCGAATCATGTCGAACAACATTCGATAGGTCATGCTCTTATGTTTAAGCTCACTGTGTTTTATGCTTGCTGCGAAAGTACAACTTCTACATTATGCATTGCCTGGGCTTCTTTAAGCATTAGTTTTGATCATTTAAGACGCTACATGTCAATTCCTTTTGTGTATCTCATATAGCATTTGTCCCTTCATGTCAATATAAAGATAGATAAAGGTCATTCTAGCAGATTGGTGCTTATTGATGAATGACAAATGTGCTTTAGGATATTACAAATCCAATGAATACATTGGCATGTGAAGGAAAAACAGTTTATCCATGAATTACATGGTTGTGATTTTGTAGATGTTAAGATATTGGTGAACAAAGGTGTGCAAGGCAACATGAATTTTTGTAAAATTGTTTAAATTAAGGATGAATATGTTGTAACCTTGATGACCTTTTTGTTGAGATACGATATTTCTAAAATGCTCTAACAAAGAAGGTTTATGCAAGCAGGACGAGATAGCAACTTAAATTGTTGCAATGTATGTAGTATAACAGAAAGGGCTGTGTGAGCAAATAATGTAAAACAACAAGGGCGTTGGATGGTTTATTCTCTTAGGCTTGAATTAAAAATCAATAATAGTTTAATTGTAAATATAGTTTATAGTGCTTATTGGATAATTATATTCTATTGCTTTTCTTTAAGGCCTCGTTTGGTACGCAAGAATGAGTGAGAATAGAAAATCAATTGTCACTTCTCATTCCTTCCTACCAAACACATCA